CCCAAAGGAAGAAGCCAGCCCACAGCATCATTACAAAAGCCATAAAGAAAAGTTATTAAAATCACTCTTTGGTGTCTCATGAAAGCAATCTGCTCCTATTAGGCTGAATACCAACTAATTCTGCAAATCACAAAATAAGTTGGTATTAAAAGGAAAGAGGAGACCAAGAGCTTTTTTCTCCCCTTAGGAACAAATCTGGTTGCTTCTGAAGGGCTTCACAAGATCTCAAACATCAAAATTCCCATACTTAACAGATTCAAATGCTGAAAAATAAAGACTATCTGAGTACCTCTTCTACCCAAATACAATCCCTACAAATGTTCAAAGAGAAGCTGTGGAAAAATGTTTCCAATTGGAACACACAGACTGTAGACAAGCAGCCAAGTCCAACAGTTAAAAACAAAAGAAAAAAAAAGAGGAAGAATTGAAAGGAAAGGAGTAGAAATAGCAGAAGGCCGAGGTTTCTAGGAAAAACTCAAGAAGGAAGACGTTGACAAGATAATGATGCACATCAACAGCTTCAGTCAAAAGGCAAAAAGGCATCTTACAAGAAACAACTGCAAATCCTCCTGGAAATTGGGTAACTTCCACCAACTGTGCCAACACAGAAAAAAACTGCACCATAGGAAAGAGGGGGAAAAAATAATATATTTAACTTAAACTAGTGAAATTTGTAAAAGTTGATGTAGCAAGTTTTTTTAAATGCTGAGAAAAAGCAGTAAACATGTTGAGATTGTAGAAACACAAGAGATTAAATGTTTATTCTATCTACATATGAAAAAGTATATTAATGAAGCTTCAGAAAAAATTGTGTATGGATTGTTTTATGGATACCTGATACTAGTGGTTATTCATGTCTTCCAAAGGGAGCTCAGATCCAGTAAGAAAAACTTATTTCCTCCCTTATAAACTTGCTAATGATTATTGGTACGGAGGTCGTTTTCTCTCTGTATTTTTGCCTTTACAGGTGAGCTTCCCTTGAGCCTGCACTAGGTCCCATCTCCTGCAGGCAGGTACTTGTTTCAGCCTATTCCAGCAGGAACAGGGAGAGGTTCAGGCGTCAGCTGACAGCCAGAGACCCTGGGAGCAGGCCTGCAGGGACCTGGCCACGCTAATAAAAGCAGCAAACATCTCTGCAATGAGGACATCCAGCCCCACACAAAGCACAGCTGCACCACTTACTGCAGCCCCAGCTGAAGCTGCTCTCCTGGCACTTCTTCCTGCCCAGGGACCAGTTTTGCCATCTCACTTTGCCACTTCAAAATGAAGTCAGCACAAGGCAAGCAGATCCATCTCACATCTCAGAGTCAAATAAAACTAAAGAAAACCCCTAAAATAACCCAAAGCAGGTTTTCCCTGGTCCTGCTGGCTGCTTGCCCCAAGGCAAGCTAACAGCCAAGCCAAGCTTGGTGATAAAAATCTTGCCTCACCCAGCAACTGAAGTTCCTTGGAGGTTCAGTGTGCTGGTGACACAAAGAACAGCTGCAGGACAGTGGAGTGTGGTGACCCAGAGCAGCCTCCAGAACACAGGAGAGCATAAGACACTCAGAGCAGTGGGTTATGAAATCCAGCAGGCCTGGAGAAGTGGCCATGGGCACCTTCATCATCTCCAAAACCTGCTCCTTTCAGGGTGTTTATGGGACTCAGCACAGGTATCAGGAGCTGAGCTTTCCTGCCCAGAAGTTTTCCAGCACTTACTCTAAACGAGTGGTTACCACAGCACATGTATCCAGCAAGTGATCAGACAAATAAAAGCAGACTTTCATTTGGCAGTAACTGACTTTTTACATTAAAAATTGTATTTGTATTTCATTTGTAATGTGCTTTAAAAAGTCTTCTAGAACTGTTACATTATTTCAGCAAGAATGGAAAGCATGAGTTTAAGATTACTGATTTTAAAGACAGCTTTTTTGATGGGAGTGCCCCTCCTGACATGCAAAAAGAGTTCTCCGTATGTAAGAATCCAATTACTTTTTAAATACTGGGAGTTGCTGTAGCTTTGATCATCCTACAAGACAGGAAAATATATCTTATGTTTATTTTGTCTTTGGATGTTTGACTGCATCTTCTTTTATTGCTTTGTTTTGGAACTTGAACTTAGCATTTTCCTGTTTTACCCAAATACTGTAGAGCATAAGAGAGCTGGATAAAAGGGGGAAAAAAATATTATAGTCCTTATTTACAAAAAGGAGTAACTTCCTAATCTTTTTCTAAAAACATAACATACTGCACAAAAAGTTTACACAATGCTGGAACTAATAAATTTGTAAAGTTAACAATATTGGGAGAGGTATTTTTAAATTACACTGACTCCAAGCCTCAGCATAAGAAAAAAAACAGAAATAAACTACTTGAGTCTACTTATTTAAAAAACAGTTCAGCTATTTGGCTCTTCTTCCTTTGCCAAGCCCAATTGCTACACCAGAGATTAACTCCCTTTTGTCAGAAAGTTACCCACTATCAAAAATGGAGTATTAAAATGCTATACAGAAAAAAAAAAGTTATATACCATGAAAAAAAATACTACAAAACTTTACAAAGATTATCCCCAAACTGCATCTAAAACCGAGACTCACACTAACTCCTGCCATCTTTTTCAATATTCACTATATTGAAATAAAACATCTGAAGAACTGGTGGGGGAAGAACCTAGCCTGTAGGAAATACTACCATTATCAAATAAAGTCACCAACTGAAATCCACTTTCAGAGTTACATCTTGTTCCCCTGCTCACCTGTCACTCCAAGCACAGTGACTCTGAAGAAAGCAAAGATACAATTTCTCTAAAATTCTGTAAAAGAGATAGAGGCTCTAAATTAAAGCAGTGTCTAAAGAGGGGCAGGGGAAGCCAAGACCAGGTAACAGGATTTTCCAGCCTTTATCCTTCATTATAGGTTATTTCAGGTTAAACAGAGGGTGCTCAGTGCCGGCAGAAGTCAGAAAAGGTAACCCATTACTAACCCATATCATAGCATCAGTTATTTTAGGCAGCTGTAAATAGAGTTACATGGTCATCTCAGGTGCACTGCACACACAGCAGTGGTCTGGAGCGTGCTCAGGGCTCATCCTCACTCCTTTCCCCATGTTTGGTGCTGTGCTCAGCCAAGCCAAGGTTCTGAAACACAGTTTCAGATACCTAAAGTCCCATCCTATACTCACCCAAAACAATGAGCTTTTCTTTCAAGATCTATTAAAAGTAATTTGTTATTTTCCATTCCACCTCTGATTGTAAGTGAGGGATCTCACGAAACAGAATATTTTGGTGACCTCGTGGTGTACAGAGTGGTACAAACAAGCTTTTCTGAAGCCTGAAAGGTGGATACTATTTCACAAAATTCAACAGCAAACTCGTGACAGAGGAATGTTGGTAGGACCACCATGACACTTCCACATTTCCTCTTCCCTCAACCAAGGATCACCAGGTGATTATTGAGCCTGCTCTACCCAACTTGTACTTCTGTCAGTCAGAGCAGTTTAATTCAGCTCTAATGCTTCTACAGATCAGATTAAATCATTTTATATATTCAGAAAAGCCGAGGCTGATCTAATAAAAAAAAAGTAGAAAGGCCTCTCTGTCCTCTGCTTTACTCCCCAAAGTTCTGTGCAGAAAGCAACACTGCCTGCAGGAACTGTTCTGTAAGCGCACAGCACTCACATGCCACGACACCCCACACTGCAACAGCAAAATTTAGCTCCACTAAAAGCAGTTTCTCCTGTATTTAACCTTCCTCCAAAATACATGTTCAGCCTCAAATGACAGTGCTGTTCCCGTTACCGACACTGCTTTTCTCTCCCCTCACATACAAGAAAGCCAACCACAAAATTCCTGTTCCAAAACGCCCTGCTTTGTCAAAAGGGCCTTTGTTGCCATGATGAGCATGCTGGCAAAAGGGAAAATACAAGAAAGAGATCCTATAGAGGTAAAAAGAAAACTACTCTAAAAACAGGAAGCATGCAATCCCTTCAGAGAGGGGTACATACACCTCAACACGTGAGCTTGGAAAAACACAGCCTGACATTCCTACACCTTTGGACTGGGGTTTCCACAAGAATTTAGCGCAGTTCATTCTGCTCCACCCAGGGGCTTGGTGAGCTAACCAACCCTCTGCCTCTGAAAGTGCCTCTCAGCCTCCCATCCCCTTTCACAGGTGCCATCAACCCCACAGAGGCTTTTGGAAAAATCACCAATTTGTTTTGAAGCAAACTGGAGGACACAAGGAGAAAAGCAGCACATGCAAATCCTGGGTTTTGTTGTTTTTTTTAATCGGTTAGTTCTGAAAGATGAGTTGCAAGCTCAGTGTCCCTCCCCACACCCTGCCTTTGTCTCTGCTATCTTGTTGTGCAGGAGCCGGTCTCATTTCCCTGTTTCCATAGGTAGCTGTTTGAAAGAGACGAGGGAGGAAACACGCACACGCAAAAAAAAAAAATAAAAAAACCGAAACAAAGAAAAATCACAAGCGCCGCAGAGACCCCAGGGCAGGGGCAGCTTCCCGAGCAAATTTTTCAATGAAACTTTATCCCAGCTCATGGAATCCACCCAATTACAGCCCGCCCCCATGCCGGGAGAGCCGCGCACCACCACCGCAACCGGGACTGGAGCACCCAGCCTAATTTATCCATCAAAAAAAAAAAAAAAAATTTACAAGCACGAGCGGCGCCACACCCCGAGCCAGCTACTCCCAGAGAAGCCCCCAGGAAGAAGCGGAGGGAGGGAAAAGCCCAGGGGCTCCCAACAGGCGCTTCCATAAAAGGTCCGCGGCAGCGCAGATGGAGCCAGCGCTGCCCCGGGATCGGCTTTAAAGCCCCGGTAAGCCCGCCTTAACACTTCGCTCCATTTATTTGCCATCTCGCCACGCCGCTTCGTAATACAGTATTGACCCATTTTCCAGGTGCTTAATTAATCTCTCTGCTGGCTGCCACGCTTGTTAGGCACTTAGCGTGGGTATTTTAAACTTAGTTTATAGAAAGCTCTAGCAAATTAAGTCTGTTACGGAATTATTATGTCAGAAAGTCCTCGCAGTCCATCGCAGCTTTCCTACTTGGTGCGACATCAATCAGAGCCTAAACTTTTTGCAAACGATGTCACGGGAGGTAATACTGGGTAGAAAATAAATAATCACAGAAGAAACATGCATTGTTATCAACAGCTACAGCTTCGCCTAATGTAATCATCTCTCACAGTAACATACTTTCCCACCATTTAAAGACACTAGAATAAGTGAAATAAACAAGGCAATACACAAGCAGGGAAACTGGAAATACACAAGCAGGAAGCTGCAAAAACATCAGAGCGCCACATAATTTCTGGCAAGTCTAGCCCTGGAGTGCCAAAAACTAAGTTAACAAAGAAACAATCGCAGTTTCTGACATTTTAAGTCAGATGTAACAGTTAGTAACAAAAGTATAGCCTCAAAAAAAGCTCTTTATTATATACGTGTAAACACATAGCACTGACGACTGAGGGCTAGATGTAAATAAAAATAATTTTTACACACTCCTCGCTATTTCCTAGAGCGTTAAACATATGTAAACGCACCTGCCAGCTTTACAATTAATACCACGACGAATCCAGAACAAACCCCGCACAATCCCTGCCGCAACCATTACGGCAAAGCCTCCGGCAAACAAACCCCTCTGCTTTTCCAGAGCTCGATCTCGGGAACTGACCAAATTTTAAAGCGTCCGCTTCCTTTCCAGTTGCTGTGAGTGCTCCCGGCCCCGGGCACCATTTGCCGCCCCAGCTCCCCCCCAGCGCGGGTCTCTGCTCGGGGGCCAGGGGCGAGGGTCGCGTCCCGCCGGGACTGCCGGGAGCGCCCGCGGCGGCGGCCGAGCAGCACCCGGAGCGGGAGGAGCCGCGCCCGGCGCCGCCCCGGGACCCCCCGAACGCTGCCGCCGGAGGCAGAGGCAGCGCCGCCCGCCGGGGCCGGCCCCGCTGGCCGCTCACCTTCACGGGTCGGGCCGCGCTGGCGTCCGCGCTGCAGCTGCCACCGCCGCCCTGGGCATGTCCGGGAGCGCTCCGGGAAGCGCCGCTCGGGCCGGGCTCAGCCGCTCAGCCCCGCCGCTGCTGCCGCCGCCGCCTCGGCCGCTGCCATCTTGTCCTGGCGGCTGCGAGGGAAGAGCCCCGGCTCAGCCCGCTCGACAGACCGGGCCTCCGCCTCATCTTCCCGGGGAGGGACCCAACCCGCCCCCGGCCGCCCCGCGCTCCGCTCCTGCCCTCCCGCACCGCCCGGCCGAGGCTGCTGTGCGGCCGTCACCGCCCCCGGCAGCAGCTCGGCGGCGGAGCCTCCTCTGCGCCAGCTCCCCGGGAAGTCCTGGGAGGACAACTTGAGATGCTCCTACCGCGAACTCCCCTCTCTGCGCCCCGGTCTGTCGCTACCTGGAGGAAGGCCACCTCGTGCTTCGTGGGGGCTCTGCGAGGAGCGCCGGTAAAACCCGCAGTAATCCTCCGGTGCTGGCCATCCCCATCACCACACCCCGAACGGTGAGCTCTCCGTCCCATCTCGTTAGCTGCCAGCGCTCATTCACACACACATAACGTGCATAGCCATGAGCAAACTGGTGCCAGGACAAAGGCCTGACTCTGCCGACCTGGAGCTTAGAAGATGACACGGTGAGAATGAACATGTGAACTCCCAGTTGATTTAAATGAGTGCTGTGGCCTTGTAAGACACAGAGACTTCCCCAAGCCAGCCCTGAAAACAACCGTGAAGCACCGACCTTCCAGATCTGGTCTGACATCCTTGCCTGGCCAGCAGTCCTTGCCACGCTAGCCCGAGCCCATCAGACACTCTGCTAGCTATAGAGGTAACGGGACAGAACAAAGGTATTGACCAGTTTGCGCCCTGCATTACAGTTCAGCTTTTTGTCTTGCTCAACTCTTCACAAAATAACAGGATACACCCCCAGTAACGACGTGTCCCTAATATTATACATCACTTAAATATTAGTGGTTTGTAAGACTGGTCGGCTTCTGCAAACAGCATTCTTGACCCAAAATAGTGTTCAGCTGATGTGGGGCAAAAAAGGAATTACTGTTTGCCTATAAAGTATTTAGCCCCAAGATAAATCCTTGGCTACAGCTACAACTGGACATCACATGCTTCTCCACCTCTTGCCAAAAATAACAAAGAATTTCTTTATTTACTTGCACAACTACACGTACTCTGCTATTTTTTCTCACTACTTGTTCCAGTATTTTCAACACGTGTCTGCTTGATTTTAACCTTTATTTAGGACCAGTCCTTGTAATAAAGATTGTTAGGATGTGAAGTCAGAATTTGAATTAATTAATTGGAGAAGCCAGACTTATTGTAAGGAAGTGCTAAAACCTTACATTAGTTTTACTGCCACAACACCACCAATTTTCAGTCTTGTAAGTAATGAGCCATATAATTTAGGGCTGAGGAGGAAATAGGTGGGTGTCAATGGTAGTAAATTATAGCATTCAAGAGCTGCTCATAACATCTATTGCTTACTAATTTTAGAAATATTGATCAAGCTCCTAAAAAAACCCATCCTACAGAGTTATTTCTACATGTTTTATTAACATATAAATAGACAGTAAATGTTGATAAACATTCTTGTTGATTACTTAACCATACAAATTCTAAAATGGCTTAACAAAAAAAAAGCACATTAAATATATGCTGATGCAATCCATACTTCATCTGCAAACTTAAATTGGTGTATATCACCCCAAATTGTGATCCACTGACGAGTCTCAACATAATTTTTCCAGCTGTTTTTTAGGATCTATTTCTAGCAAATTTCTCATGTTTCACCATGCACCTTCCTCCAGTTTGATAACCAAAACAATCCAAACACAGTTGTAAATTTGAATGTTACCAATCCTCTGCTAACAGGCAAAATGATGAATCCAATGCTCCATGGGTACACCTGCACAATTTTAACCAACTTTCAGAAACACATTTTAATTTAGATTTAGAAAAGAAGGGGTGACTTTGGGCTCATTAACCTCTCTTATCATACTGTTCTCTCACTGTATTTTTGGGTTGGCCACGTTTGGTAACTGGCAGCACCTCCTGAAACATGCCAGCCCTGTCAGTTCTGTCTTCATGTTCCAGTTTTTGCTAATTAGATCAAGCTAGGCTTCACTCACCTTGCAACAGGAGTATCAGCAGCGTGTAATCAAACCCTCAAATCTCGTTGAAGCTCCTTCAGTTGCCTTTGTGGAGCACAGCACCCCTCTGCAGATCCATTGTTTATCCTTACTTCCTTTCGAGCTCCCTCAAGAAGCTCCCTTCTTTGGCAGCTGTTTCAGTTAAAGGTTTCCCCACCATCAGGACTGAGGGCTGGCCAGGGCCAGTGGGAGCTGGGGTGATGAACCTCCCCTGTCAGTGACTCCTAGGGATTACTTTGGCCACAAAATAGTTTTGAAGTGCCCACAAAGCACACTAAAACAGCATTAGATGTATCAGCCAGCTTTAAACACTGTGATGACCGTTTCTGTCAGGGGTTAAAATCTGACTGTGACTGTGTCTGAGAAGCCCTCACATGACTTTTTTTTTTTTTGTCACCTAGAAAACAGCAAACACTTCCCTGTCCTAATTTTTCCTTGGCAGGTACATTTGTGCTGGTAGGCAATGGAGGGGTTAATGTGGAAACTCCTGTTACACCTGTAAGTGCTGTGGGCTCCTGATAACGTTTGGAGGGGAGGGTTTTGTTTCAAAGTGCTTAAGTAACTCAGTGGATGGAGGCTCTGTGTCATTTAGATTCATTTATGAAGTTCAGCTCTGAAACACACACCCCCGTGGGCTCCTGTTCCTCCTTGTCTCCAAGCCTTTGCAGAGGAGAAGCACTAGTTAGGTGTGAGTGCTCTGAGTGGAAAATACAACCCAGAAGTTAGAAGAAGAGGATATTTCTAACAGATGTAATCTATTATGCAGCAAAAAGAAACAATCTGAGGACAAACACAGGCTAGAAGCTTTTGGCAGAACACCTACCAATGACATTTTGTGCTATTTTTGTTACCAAAATCCCAAGTGTAGATGCAGGCTGAAAATGCTTTGGCTAGAACAATTTGTTTTACTCCTCAAACTGCTATAAGCTGTATCATCAAAACACTTTTTACAGCCAGGGTGAGTTGTTCATACCAGTTTATGGGTTGCTTGTATCAGCTTGACTCTTAATTTTTGAACAAGCTTGAGTCCTATCAAAACACTTTTTACAGCCAGGGAGAGTTGTATGGGTTGCTTGTATCAGCTTGACTCTTAATTTTTGAACAAGCTTGAGTCCTGACTGAGCCTCTGCCATCAGAGGTAAGGACAGGAGAAGGCAAGACCACAGGGCTGTAATTCCATCCAGAAGGCTCAGAATTACACCAATAACAAAGGTGCAAGTGCATGAAACAGCGAGGCACAGTGCAAAGGGACAGACCTGGCCTCTCACAATTCTCCTGAGCAGTTACATTTCCCCAGTGATGCTCTCCACTGAACATCCCATTCAGCTCACCCCGCAGAAAAGGCTTTCCTTGGGTCAGGAAAGCACCCAGTGACTGTCAGAGCTGACACAAAGAGGAAGGCAGAGTTTTTCCTTTGCACTTGCATGGAAGAACCGAGTTTTCTGGGCAGAAATTATGAAATCCAAACAACCCAGAAGCTGCTTGGCATTGTGGTGTTGTGACCCCTGCAGGTGTCCAGGCCTTCACAGGTGGAACAAGCAAAGGTTCCACTTAAATTTTTCTTTTTTTAAAACTTGAAGGCCACAGTCTTTAGTGTTTCCTACAGTATTAAATAATTTGTTAAGCAGATAATTAATTCATGCATTCAAATGATAGGATTTGAAATCAGTATTTACTGTGTAGTATTTTGTGTAGTATGTACTGTGTAGTATTTCACATTGGCTGAAATATTTTATGCTTACAGGATTTATCCTGCCCAATCAGACAGAAGACTGGACAAAAATAAGTATTCTTTTTGCTTCACAATTCCTTATCTAAAGCATTTTTAACTGATGTTATTGTCACTGAAGTATGACTTGTATTATGAGAAACAAGCATTCGATATTCTGCATTTGGATCAAAATTTTCAAGATCCAAATTCCTGTGGAAACATGTAAAGGGGTGAGAGCTAAACTGATAAAAAGTGATCTTTTAAAATATAAAAATTGAAATGTACACTTCCCACTGATTACCATCATATTCAGATAAGCATAGTTCAAAGTTCCCCATCTCCCCTCTCCACAGATGTGTTTGCTAGATGTATCCAAAATCCAACCTTCTGTTGCTGGGTGTAAATGGAAAATTACTTTCAAATTTAAAGCAAACATACACTTTGTTCCTTTTGCAACAACTGCAAGGTCAGTTGAGAAGCACTGTGTTTCCTCAATTGAAAAACACACAAGTTTCTCTTGCATTTTCCACTGAGACATTTGCAAAAATAAGCACAAATTTCACCTTTTATTTCCACATTATTTTTTTGCAGATTTAATGCAGGATATATATAAAAAATTTTTTAAAAATTTTTAAAAAAGAGGACATGGTGAAGCGGAGGTTAGTGAAAGTATTTGTTTATTGTTTGCTGTTTAACTTACAAATGCAACAGCCTGGCTCCTCTGTAAAGATTCAAAAGCTGTTGGGGACAGAAAATGCTTTCCATGGGCTCGTGGTGGTTTCTGGGGCTTTGTGCCTGCTCGTGGCAATGTTCATTTCACAAAGACACCACAGGTCCCTGTGCATCTCCATCCACTGGGGCTCTTCCAAAGAAGAAAATCAGATTAAAGCATTCTTCAGGTTGCCTCTCTTTCTGCTTGTTCCTTCCTCAGCTTTAAAGCCCAGCTACGAGAAACCTCCTGCACCATCCTGACATTGCTATTTCAAATTCTGCCAGGTAATGGTAGAATTTTCTCTTAGGAAATAAATTTGTCTGGTATCTAAAGGTAATGATAGGGTGACTAAAATGGTAATTCTTGGAAAATGTGAGAAGGCATCTAAAATCTTTTTGGTTATCATGTGCATAAAAGCTGGCTGACTTGAGATGAAATGCATTCCTCATCCAAACTAAAACACTAATCCCCTAACTTAAGGCAGAATAACTACACTGTAGAATCATTAAGATTGCAAAAGACCTCCAAGATCATCTAGTCCAACTTTAATAGAAGAGTGATGTTTATGTAGAAGGCAAAGGGAGAAAAACATAAGTAGAAAAATAGAATTAATTTATCTTGAAATTACATAAATACCTATTAGTTCAATTTAGGTTTTACAGAACTTTTCTCTTTTTTTTTTTTTTCTGGTTGTTTCTTTTCAACCTTCTTGTCCTTTTCAGTGCCATAGTTGTTGAAACAGCTAACTGGGACAACTATAATTTAAAAATATGGCACCCTGCTAATTGTCACAGATGATTTTGCTCAGGGCCACTGTGAGATATTTATTTCTCTGCTTGTGTTCACATTTCATCAATAGATGTAGATTTCACAGATGCTTCATTGCTGTGTTTCAAACTATGCTAAGATCTTGCTGATATTAACATATTTTCTTTAACAAAGAGTTAAAGAAATGCAATATTTTCGGGGTGGTTGAAATATCTTTACTGGATCACGTAAGTATTGTATTTTTCAGGCTGTATTTTCATTTTCAGTTTGGTTTTCCTCTTTGTTAGAGCCATAGAAGTAGATCATTCCTCACTCAAGTACCTTAGGAGGTCCACAAGGAAAGGGTTTGTTCAGGAAATGGTCACAATAATGTGCATTTCGTGTCTGACACTGTACATTTTCTTGCATTTTCTTTACTATTTTCATGTAGTCAGTAGCCTTGGTGGTGCCTGAGTGCCTTTCACATAACTGTATTTAGTAATTACATTTCTGTGCTCAATCTCTCTTAGCAGGAAAAGAGCTGGAAGTGTCTGTTAGGGTTAATGAATGTTAAATGTGTACAAAAATATAGTATGTTTCTACTTTCGAGGTGTTTGGCAAGGACAAATATATTTTACAATATCTGACTATTACAACATATAAAGAGAGAAACTGATATAAACAGAGAATTATAATATTCAAAGCAATCAACAAAAAATGAGATAATCCACTCCCAATTTAATGATAGCCAAACATTGGAAAAAATGTTTATTTTACATAAAAGTTAAAAAAACACTGGAACATTTTTTTCTGTGGAGGAGAAAAATTACCTTTTAAAAATAAAAAGTATATTTAAAATTAAAATTCCAATGATATTGTGCTAATTTTTAAAAATCTTTAATAGCAAATATTGCCATTTTTTCCTGTTGTTTTGAAATAAGCATCAATAAGCACCCTACATTTAAGAATATCCATAGGGTAGCATCTACTAATACTACAATAATTTCATTTTTACAGGTGAGTAATGACTTCTGTCTTCAGTGACTGATACATTGCAAGATCAAGGGCTGCAGACAGATGAAGAGCACCAGTGTTCCAGCTGACCTCACTTTCCAAAATGCATCATTCCTTCAAATAAACGTCATTGAGCACAGGCAGGCAGTGGGATGACAGAACTCAAAGATAATCCTGCATTAGCAGCAATGTCCACTGACTGCAGGGAAAACACTGACAGCAGTAAAGGTGTCTGGGGCTGTGCTTTTGCAGCACGTTCCAAAGTAAATAGTCTGATTAGCTGGCTGCTGGTCCAGGCTGATGTTGTCCAAGTTTTATCTCCATGCAGAATGTGTCAGCCTCCCCCAGCAGCTCTGACTCTGGCGCTGAATCACAGCCAAGCCTATTTTAGAATTAAATGGAAGATGACCTCGTTACCTGGCTCTCTCCAACCTCACTGTGAAAGCACTTGAGGACTGAGCCAGGGCTTTGCTGTCAGCAGCTAAAAACAAACCCCAAAGTGCACAAAAGCCCTGTTTTGTGGCACTGGTGTGAGGCCCTGTCACTAATCTGTCTGTGGCACAAATCCCTCCTGAGAAGCAGTTTTACCCCAGTCCACCAGCACGTGGCTTGCAAATGTCCATGAACCCACCCTCCCTTAACAGTTTAATACATCAGCAACTTCTCCATGGGTTTTCCTACCTTTTAAAAGCAGATAGCCTTATTTCTGCCCTCCCCCATGAGACATCCTTAATGAAAGAACAGTTTAAATATCTTCTAAAGGTGTAAATTACCACATTAGGGACTCTCCTAGAACGAACAACAGAGGAGGCACATTATCTACATGAGTTATGAAAACAGATCAAACCATTCTAAAGAAAAAACCATTTCCTTCTTTAGTAAAGAAGGAAATTTCCCTATAAATTATTTTCCCTATAAATTCTATTTCCCTATAAATGTCCTTATTCAGAGGTGCAAACGTTCTAATAGAATTCTTACAAAACTTACGAAACTTGTGCTTATTTTTTTATTCTCCTGTTCCAAACCGGTAACAGCCCAAATCCCTTCCAAAGGAGAAGGTGATGCTCGAGAGCCGTTTAATGAATTGTTTTGACCCAGTGAAACACACCGTGTCCCCTGCTGGTAATGAGACACTCGGCAGAAAGTGTCACATGGCAGGGACAATGGCAGCAGGCTGTCACTACAGCCACAAAGCCACCTCGGAGCAATCTGTCCCCAGACAATGCAGGGGAAGATCAGGTAACACCTCTGAGCTCACTGCATGTGTACTTGGTGCTGCTGCTTTGACCTGTAGCATCTCCAGTTAATGAGAATTCTGGTAGTAAATATTTTATATTTTTAATATGTCTATATATATATATAATATATATATATATTATATATATAGACATATATATATAGACATATATATATACATATATATATATATAATATTTTTATACTTATAATATATATTACTATATTAAATTAATTATAATTAATTTAATTATAAGGATATCAAACTCAAAATCGTGTACATGCCAGGATTCTCAGAGTCTGGCAGCCAATTATACTTACAATATATATTACTATATATTATATTTTATATCTATAGAAATATAGAAATATATCGTATATATACATAATATGTATGTACAATTTTATATTTATTTTTCTTATTTTTATATTATTTGTATTATTTATTTTTATTTGTATGTGCATTTTTAATATTTATATATTTTTATTTTATATTTATTTTCTGTTTAATTTTTATATTTAGAAATATTTTCATTTAGTTTTTTAACACCTCTTTGCTAGTTAGAGGTAAAGTTCATGCTGTTTTCTGACTCACAGACACTTCTAATTAAACAAATTTAATTTTAAAATGTTTTAGTGTAAAATTCACAGAAAATATTGTCTCCCCATGGATTTTGTGCGAAGGTAGACAGAAAATCACTGGGGTTTTATGGCTTTCTCATATTTTGATATAATTACCACTCTCTGCTACTGAAACAGCCTTACACATTTATGATCTGATGTTGAAAAGAATGGGATAAAAAAATAAATAAAATAAAATAAAATAAAATAAAATAAAATAAAATAAAATAAAATAAAATAAAATAAAATAAATAAAAACATGGTCATTAACACCACGTCATGCTCAGCACCCAAATGAACAGCAATGAGATACAACAGGTGAGAAAATGGAAGGACAGGAACTGCAGAGCACAAACCCAGGGAGGACTGAGCCTTGGAGATGAGGGTGAGATTTCACTCAAAATTATGTCCATGCAAGGATTCTCATGCACCCTCAGAGTCTGGCAGCAGCACCCCAATGATTCTGCTGGATTTTCCCTTGGAGGGGAGCTTGAGGAAAGGATGAATTGCCACCAGGACACAGAGGCACAAGGAAAGAACCTGGAGATCATGGTGAGATCTAACTCAAAATCGTGTACATGCCAGGATTCTCAGAGTCTGGCAGCCAGTGATTCTGCTGGATTTTCCCTTGGAGGGGAGCTTGAGGAAGGGATGAATTGCCACCAGCACACGGAGGCACAAGGAAAGGCCCACGGCTCCAGGATCAGGTGCTACTTCAGCTGGAGGTCTCAAGAAAACTGGAGATCCTTATAATTAAATTATTTTTGTCAATGCTACTTGTGACTTAAAAACCACAGTTTCCACATTTCTAATGTATGCACTGAACTTCCAGATCATTTTCAGGTTTATTTTTATTTTTTAAATACAAACTGCATATCTCAGAATAAGATAATGAAGAACATGTTACATAAATAGTAAATTTGTCAGGGATTGAAGTACTTCCATTCATATCTCTGGTGCCATATCTTACAAAGGAAACTTGTACAGATATTCCTGATAAGACAATTTAATACCTCCAAATTATTTTATCTTTTTTCTACCTCAATGACAAAAAGCATCTGTATGGACTTCACTATTTTTCTATAAGCATGTAATAAAATAATTTAGAAATAAAAAATACAAATCTGAGAGTAAAGCTATTTTCATTTAAAATATGCTTTATTAGTCAAGTTAATTTATTATTTAATTACATACATGTGGGAGACTGCAATCGGTAGTTCTTATTCTGGATAATCCTCAAAATGTGATAAAAGTACATCCTGTGAGGAAATGTATCACCTGTCACTCAAAAATACTTCACAAAAATATTTCACAAAAACACCAAGAGGCAGCAGAAGGCAATGGCTAAAAGGGCAAGTGTTAGGGCACAGACAAACACCTCAGAATTAAGGCACGACAAAGAGCAGGAAAAAGCTCTTTAATCAGCAGGGACGGGCTTTTCAAGCAGCCCGTGTGCAGAGGAGGAGCCACATCATTTATTTTAAAACACTGATTGTGTTTGAGGGTGTTTATTGTTGAGCAGTACTTTGTGTACACGCGTGCAGCCAGTTTTATGTCTCTTTTTATTCACTTCTTTATGACTTCTGCCTAAGCAGAGATTACAGAGCAGGGAAAGGACGTGCACAGGTCTTGGGAAGCAGCATCCCAGAACGTGGAAGTGGTGGGGAGAAACCCAAGAAGAAATTACTGAATACTCAAGAAGAAAATTTGCACACTAAATATTTTGTTTGTTTTCTTATGTATAAGATCAATGCTGAAATAATAGCAGAAGTTCCATTTTCATTGAAATATCTCCTGATGCTTCGTGTGTTGTAACTACTCCATCAAAATCAACCAAAATCTCACAATTTATATTAAACTACTAATGAACATTTAGGGGAAATACCCAGAATATCGGTATTAATTTTAATAGATATAGAGACAGCAGTATTAACAAAGTAGCCTCAATTATGGACCAGAATTTCCTGGGTCAGGAGTCCATAATATAATAAATACAAAATAGATTTAAATAGAATATAAATATAAATATAAATATAAATATAAATATAAATATAAATATAAATATAAATATAAATATAAATATAAATATAAATATAAATATAAATATAAATATAAATAGAAATAGAAATAGAAATAGAAATAGAAATAGAAATAGAAATAGAAATAGAAATATATATAAAAGTAAATATGGCTTCCAAATGAAATCTTGCAGAGCTTGCCATCCAAGTATCAGACAAGAGACAACAGATGGATTCAGAGAGAAAAAGAGGAGTGAACAAGAAAAAAGGAGACAACCTTGGCCAGCACTGTAGGGAGCATCATATGAGTGCACCAGCTGCCCACCTGCCTCAGGAGTCCTTATTTCCTGAAGGAAGAAATTTTGCCAGTGCCAGTTTTTATTCATTACTGTAGGACTGCCAACACTTTTTCTCTCCTGAAAGACAAAAACGTGTGTGTCTAAAGCCCAATAAATATGATGCAAGTCCTACTGAAATCTTCAAAAAGTACATCAGTGGCATGGACGGGATCAAGATTTTACTCAGATATTTTCAATTTCTTCAAGTAGAAGTTTAGACATGTATTCTCATGTCTAAATATGAGAGCCTCAAAAGTGAGCCCTTGGAGATAACAATTGAATGAGAAAAGTATTAAAAAAACCCCAGACAAACCTGGATTGTTAGTGTGGTTCCACTCCTCATTACATTCCATCATAAAGACATGGAAATCAGCTTTTTAGAGCCTGGCATGATGACAGCTATTTGACTCCTGAACTGAAAAGCAGTATAAATATTTCTGGGTTAACACATGAAATGTAACGATCAGACATCAACTGTTCTTTACCATTTAAATGTATTTCTTCAGGAGAAGCAAATTCATTTATTATAGCAGAAACTACTAACTGTTTCACAGCAGGGTATGAGTAGCTTCTCATTTATTTTTTATTAAATAGTTGTATCTGTTACATGTGTGAAAGATTGCTTTAGCTGCTTATGTGAGGCTTTTAAGGCAGAATAGCATTCCACTCAGCAGACAATACTGAAAAGCTCTAGTTCAATTCAGCAATTAACTTCCTTGTGTTTCATCACCAAGCACAAAATATTACCTTTAATTAAAAACACAATAGGAAATTGCCTAGTTATCTAGTTCTTTAACAGTGTACTTCTTAGTGTAAGGCACTTAAAACTAATTTAATCACTGTCTGTAGCTTTTGCACTAAGTTATACTTAAAAATGAACTGGTTAACTCATGTCCCTTAAGTTAAGCTTTATACCTAAGCACCAAGTGCATCTCCTGGCTTTATTTCTGATCAGTGTCTTGATGGCAACAACCTGGGCATTTATCCTTTCCCCCTTTCATTTCAGTGAGTGCATGTCTTATTTTCCACAGTAGCCTCCAAAATGCCTTCTGCTCCAGCAGACTCAGTTCTGTCATTTCTGATATTATTTGAATTTGTTATTTACAACAACTTTACGTTGCCTTTTGTACCTTATTACACTCACTGACCAACTGTGGAATCAAACTTCCTCATTAAACATCTTTGGCAAAGCTCCTTTCTGAATCATAATTTTCATTTAGTTTCTATTCAGAGTATAAATTTTAAAGCTTGATGTTTATTAGACAAACAATAATGGAGTTGTGGGGCCTCCAAAGTGATTTATTTTTGAGACCTCTTTCTAACCTTTTAATTTAAGTCTTAATTTGGAATTAGTTTAACATGAGAAAGTGAGATCTATTTTTCACTCTAATCCTAAATCAATATTAGCTCAGAAAATTTTTCTGTCTGAGCCAGAGAACATATATTATACCATTAAAAGTAACCTTTTGCAGGGAATATCACTAATGCTGCCTAAAAATAATTCATTTCCACAAATCAGAATGAGAAATCCATGGGGTTTTTTTTGCCCAGACACCTTAAAATAATTTTGTCTCTCCATAATCCTTCTCTGCATACTGCTCTTGCTTAATTGGTGCTAATGAGTATGTAAAATAAGGGAGAACACATCCCCTAAAATGTTTGCCTTGACAAATGTAGAAAGGTTCTTCTACCTCAGACACACCGAGACAGCCCACAGAAGGAACTGAGCTGAAGTACATTGGAAGAAAACCATAATTTAAATTCAAGAGTTTGATTACATTGCAACATGTTGACATTATTCATTGCAGATATCTACAAAATCATTACACTTCCATGAATTCTTCCATTTGAGTCAAATCGGTCTTTCTTAATAGAGATCCAGGTTTAATCAGTATTTCCCAGAGAAGAATGGTTAACACTGCAAAATTGCTGAACTTAATCCAGATATTAATCCAAACAAAACTCACTGAATATTTTGGTTTTTAAAAAAACCTTACAAATATAATCCCATCCTGGCACTGGGAATACGGGATTATTGCAAATTGTGTGGTTTGGTTTTAAAAAAAAAAATAAATTTAAAAAAGTTCCTAAGCTGTTTCCTTTTCCACTGATCATCACTCCCTT